TCTTGGACTTCAAGCTGTTCAGTGAAGACGAGGAACGCTTGCCCTTATGTTTCTTAGGAATAGGTGATCTGGTGGCTGAAGTGGCAGATGAGGCTGGAGGGGATGGATCGCCAGAGGAATGTTCCTGGTCTTGGCCAGCAGGAACTATCATTCTGGGCTGAAGGACTGGTCAAGGCATGGTTTGAAGTTCCGGAGATACCGAATTGAAACCTGGAGCTGTGGATGGGATGTGGTGGTCTAAAGCCTTGGTGGCGTAGCAGTCCAGTGGGTTCCACAGCACCAGGTGAAGTCTTTTGGGGTGCCATGGTACCGTGGCATGATGATGTACCAGGTGGGGCAAATCTGGCAGAGCCTGCTCTGGTGTCTTCGGTGTAGGGGAGAGTGGAAGTATGCTCAGTCAATTTTGCTGGTGAAGTGGTTTTTCTCACTGATGCAGAACGGCGGCCAATGCTCACTGGAGTTGCTGGCAGAATACTGGCGCAATCACCCTGTGGGTTCTTGTGGGTTCTTCTGGGCTATGGTTGTCAAAGGATGAGGAATACTTCCCAGTGATGACAGGATAAGCACATGGAGTCCTGGCTGGCTTGGTAGACCGGCAATAGAATGGGGAGACTGGGGTCCTAGTCAGATCCTTGCAGCTGCCCCTGCTCAAGTGGTCATATGCAATTGTCTTTGGAGCTTCCCTGTCAGCTCTCGGGTTGAATGATACAGGGGTCTCATAGACAGACACGAGCGCAGCTGGAATGAACCTTGTGCGGGGTGCACAGACAAAAAACTGAAGAAAGAAAAGCACACAAAGATTACACAAGAACAACACTCTTACCAACAAATAGGTGAAATTTGAGGAAACACTTTATTCAGAAGAAGGTACTGCTGATCAAGTTAATACAGAACTGTGTAGCGAGAATAGAAACTTGAAAAACTGAAAATGCCAACAAGGACATGTCCGGTGCTGAAGAAAGAAAGATGAATATGGCAGCATTACCGCGATGCATTGAGGGTGGTCAGGGTGCACCATGGATGATTGAGTCTCTTCAGCGAATAACAATAGATGCATGGGAAATCTGAATATGTACACTGTATTAACTGTCTGGGTAGGTTGAATGCAGTGGACTTTAACATATTTCCAATATTCAAATTTCTTTCAAAAATGTAAAATCAACAACAAGGATTTTTAAGGATGGGGCAAGCAGGAGGGGGTATATCTGCCTTCCTACACGTTTTGCAAAGTACATTGTTCTGTGGTACCCTAAACTTTTGTCTCCTGCCACATATACGGTACACACTGTATGTACTATGCCTCCTCTTCTTCTCCATCAATTTCAGAGACAATTTCTTCTCCATCAATTTCAGATTACAGTGGGAAACATTGGAACAGGTTTGTGCTTGAAAGGATGGGAAATGATGAGAGGTGATGCTTAAAGATGAGAACCATCATGAAATCATTAGAAAGATGTGCTGGTACATGTATATTGACACACATGTACACAGACTATGACCTTGAATCACTATCAACTTTTTCAATAAACTGATGCGAAGTTGAAATCTTTCTGAGATTAACATGCATTACAGAATGAAAATTAAATCGCCTAGGTGATAACTCACAGTAGAGGCAATTCATAATGCAGTGTGCCTCAAAATGTTTTCATGCAAAGATCACTTCTAGGTCACTCTCCTGCTACATTAGCTTACAATTAACCATTGATTCTGCATTCTGTTAATGCAGCAATCCATTGGCACATATTCATGCATTGAAGATGTTCAAACAGAAATTCAAATACAGGCTGGTAAAAAAGTAAAACCCAAGTTTAAGGTGATTGTTCACCCATACCCTGCAATCCAGAGAATTTCTATTTACCAACATGTACACTGTACATGTAGTGTTGATGAGTTTGGGGTTAGGAATAATCCTGAAAAAATCAATATCTCAAGATATCACCCATTACAGAGGTCATGTGCAAAACTGACTTCTTAGTACGCGGCAATGTCTTCATTTTTGCCCAGCTATGCTTATGAGCAATGATGCTCCTATAGCTATAGACAAGACATTTTATCCCCTAAACGATAAAATTCATTATACTCAATGAAAAGATTCATTTGGTGTTGTGTGTATTTCCGAGCATGACTGTGGATGCAGGAGAATTGCCTGTCAGATTCAGTTGCACCAGCTGGGTCCTGTGTAGCCAATCACCATCCTTGAGCAGCCAATTGGTGCGATGGGGTTGCTGCCAAATTATTGCCGAGAGTCAGGTGGCCAATCAGCGAAAGGGTTTGGGATTGGAGGCAGCGCATGGTTCATTGTTACAATTTATTCTCGTCACAGCTTCAAACAAGTGAGTTTATAAAACATATGTACCAACGGGGGACTTAACATCATTGTAAACACGTATGTATAATAAATAGCCTGCAATGTGCCACATGGACTATACCCGGCTGCATGGTCAAGCGGTTAAGACCACGAAGTGCATAATTGCAAATCCCTGATTGTACTGTTATTACCAGTTTAACCCCTTCGCGACGGGTGACTGCAAACGCTGCGCCTGGAGAAAAGTCTAATTTCTGGGTGTCTGCAGTAGCCGCATACCACACCTGCAACTTTTATTTAGTGTACACCTGTAGTTAGTGGGAGCTTTGCATTGAATGGAAATCTGGGGCAACTAGGAGAGTTGGTCGACCCCACGATATCCAGTAAATTGGATTTTAATCATCAGAACATCCTCTTTGTCTTTGATTGAATACCCTGGGTAATCTCCGTAGAGTGTCGCTGACTCTACTGTCAGGGCTTAGGCAACGCACTTTATGTGGGCCTTAAGCGTGATGAAAATAGGCCATTGACATGGTGTGCGCACCATTGTTTGTGGCCCTGCTGGGCCCTGAACGCATGCACAGCACCCCATCGCCCACACTCGGGATATAGACGGTCTATTGTTCAGCATAATTGGCATTTGTTTTGTCCAAAAAGGAGTGTTTTCTGTAGCGCTTGGTATCTATTTTACTGGCCGCTCCCTGGCCCTTCAGTTGCGTTACACAACGTTTTCCAATGAAGAGGAAACTCTGTGGTTCAGATTTCACATCGGAATTTGAACACAGTTGAAGCTAGTGCCTGCTAAGATAAAGATCAAGACTTTGTCCATTTAATGGACAGCCGATGACAACTTTCCCCGCCGACACAGCTTTCAAGGCACAGCGGGTGTTCAAGAACTGTTTCAAGGTTTATCACACTTGAATCATGCTTATTTATGCCATGTTTCCTGTATTCCCAGTCTGTAGTAAATGAAATAGCACATAAAATTTTGGGGCAACTCCTTCGAGGTTTATTATACTTGAATCAATTATTCATGTACAATTACCTGTATTCCAAGACATCGTGTAACGCAACTACTCTATTTTTTCTTTCCCTTTTTTGTCTAAGTTTTTTTAAACAAAAAAGTCACTTTATTTCTAAAATTCAGTTTGATTTATTGTAAATACATGTATATGAGAAGAGAAGTGAAAAAAAAAAGAAATGAAAAGTCGTCAAGAGAAGAAGAAAACTGAGACATTGTCTTGTGTTTTTCTTGTGTCTATTTATTTTATAATTATGGGAAAGATTTAATTAGAAGGGGGCTGTGTTAGATATATCATTACGTTCAGAAACGGGTTTGAATATAACTTGCAAAAAGAAAACTTAGAAGTATGCCAGAAAATCATGTGCGTACATAGCGCAAAATGAAAAATTGGCAAATTTTACGTGTAATATTGACTGGGTATTTGATGAAATAAAAACTTGTGAAGCGCACTCTTATGTAGAAGTGGAAGCTAGCATTGATGCTGGGCATGCATGGACTACTGGGGAGCACGAACAAGAGTCACGGTGCCCGCCTGTGGCAAGCCTGGACCTTGTGAACTTAGCGGGCGCTGCACGCTTCACCGTGGCCGAGCATCGCTGGGTAGTTAATGTTTTCGTTTGGGTAAGGCAAGTTGCTGGGTGCCTGGTTATTCTGTAGATGGGATCCAAATACCCCAGCATGAATCATGGCCACACAGAGCCGGGCTTTGTGCAGTGTGCAATCCAGCAAACTTGGCAGATAAGGCCTGGTGACCTTGCTACATGTCTGCGGTTGCCGTTAGCAAAATTGGAAAAATAATCTCGGCAGCCAGACAAGACGCGGTAAAAAATCCCACCGTCAAGGGGTTGAAGGCTTCAGTTTTGCTAAGGTACGCAAGTTGATGAAGTTAATTTCATGGTGTAGCATTCTTTCTTGTTATAAACATATAAGCACACATTGTACTATTTTTGTTGACTGGAAATACAAAAGACAACTGGCGGTTTGTTGTTTTTAGTATACATGTACGTACATGTAGTGATCATGGGTATCCCTAGGCATCTTTAATTATGCGCCTAATTTGGTATTCAGGTAAAAAATTGGCAGTTGGGAGTTGTCGATAGTGGTCATGGTTATTGCTATCTGAACTGTGGTTAAGGGGAACACTGTTCATGGTTATTCAAGCTAGTCAGAGCATGGACAGAAGTACTGCCTTGTGTCCTGGTTTGCCCTACTTTGGTATTCAGGATGAAAGTTGAGAATAAACATCTGCAGCTGAGGCACTCCGACACACTCAAGAGCTGATTGTTTGTGCTCTCCATTTACTGTAGTTTGAGTATAAACAAGTTTTGTACTCTGTAATGGATAATATCTTGAGATCCAATTAAGCTGTACCTGCTGTACCTTTTTTTCAGGATTATTGCTAAACACCCGACTCATCAACTCTGGATTGCAGCATGTGGGTGAACAATCACCTTAAGTTTAAGTTTATTCTGTTTTGAACCACCCTGTATAAAGCAAGTACACCCAAAATATTGAAACACCAATTGGTATGTCATAGGCAAAAGAAACACCCTTAACTCTCAGTCAACCATTACAAAAAGCTGTATCCAAAAAATGGCTTCTAATTAGCTTTGTGGAAACTTGTTAGTAGCACATCGCATGGAACTGTTTTTCACCAACAATGGTACAAACCTCCTCTACTTTCACTGTCAGCTGGTTTTACTTGCATGGGGCGATTCATCTAAAAACAAAATAAAACAATATCATAATCAATATCATTGTTTTGGCATGAACTTCATTTGTACCTGCACGTACTGGTGTGCCATATGAATCAGCTTGTTTTTGCAAATGTTTGTGAATGAACACTTTTGCCACATTTCATTTCAATTGCCTGTGACTTCACTTATAATTGGATGACTTGTGATGGAAATGCAAGGACTTCACTCCATGACTGTTTTTCAATCGAAACCTTTAACCTCAGATGAATGCATTCATGTGCCAGTATGTCTTAATATTGGCTTGGCATTATATTCAGGATGCTCTGAGATTCAATTTTCATGGAACATGGAAAACTGCCTAAAGCAAGAGTCAGGAAAAAAGTTGAAAATTTAAATGAGAGAAAACTTATTTGTGTCCCCCAGTTCGAGACAATATTTCTGCCATTGGTACATGTACATGTTAGGACTGAGTCAATTTGAATAATTCACTATTCGAATATTCAAACTTCAATTTGATCAAATATCCAAAGATTTGGTTGCATTGACTGGCAGACTGATGATGAACAAACCATATAGAAAATCAGTTACAATAACACACACACTTGTACATAATGATCAATATAATAGATTCTCACATATAGGAGTATCTCCGGCCATGATTTAGCAAGATTTAGAGATGAAAAAGACTTCTTGTCCTGGAGAAAATTTCTGATCCTTTTAAATTGTCTAATGAATAATTTACTTTTAAATCATTGTACAATTTCAAATCCTCCATTTGAATCTGATTGAAACAAGCCTCCATAGTGCAATTTTCTCATATAAAAAAAAATTCCTTCATGAATTTTGCATTCAAATATTCAAATTTGAAAAATTATATTTATATTGTCAACAATCGATCAAATATTTGGTTTATTCGGATATTCGGCACAGCCCTAGTACATGTCTGCTCATCTTGGGCACACTCCTATTCTTTCAATAATCATGAATATGGTTGCTATGCAACATGTATGAACAGAAACAAAACATGACAAAAATACAAAAATAGCAATGGGATAAAGTCTTTTGCTCACAGAAATCATGATGACTAAATTTCACGGATTTCAGATATTTCCATCAAGAACACCCACACAATGTACATGACCTCCACATGCACAAACAACAGTGTTTTGTCATACTACATGTAGGTAAATTACATATCTGTCATATTGTCTGTTTCACAACCTGCACAGTCCTCAATCCTCCATTTTTAATACAACTCGTTGGGTGTAAGGTTAATTACTACCAGATTTAAATGCACTGTGTTGTCAAGGACATTCCTTTAATCACCATGGAGACAAAAAGTTTTTAGTGAATGTTTACTTCATTCTAACAGTGAAGCAGTTGATGCAAACCTTTACATAATAGCCTGCTCTAAAAAAACCATGATCATACATACATGTATCTGCAAGGCAATATCTCTTGACCATGGTACAATACCAACAGAGATGAACAGTATGCTGATCATGCAATTACTGCTCAATGTGTCTTAGTTTATCATCTGCCCAAACAAATTCAATTTAGGAGGAAGTAAACACATGAATTTCTCTTTTGCACAAACTTAATTTTGTGGCTGTAACTTTGATGATGACCAAACATCTCAAAGTTACCAAATGGTGGCTTTAAAATATGTATCCATACTATATTAAACATAGTGTAAAACACAAGATGTTTTTATCTGTACTGAAATACTCATACGTGTACAAAATTATATTCATTAACATACATGTACACGTTCATGTACATGCATACATAATCAAAATATCAAGAGCAAATTTACCATTACTCATGTTACATTTGGAGCATTTCTCAGCCTTTTTACATAAGTTGTTAATTCATATTTCAATTAAAAAGTGTGTGAATATTATAATTTAAAAAAATCATGAAGTACAAATTAAAAACTGTTTTCTAATTTTATGTAAAGAGTCTGCTTAATTTTTATTTACCTTCAGGAGCGATAGGTCTATTATTTTTTACAGCACTAACCCACAGCACTAACCCACCTGCCATATGATCATAAGATAATAAATTCATCACTGGTCATAGCTGCCATGCTCTCATACGTTACAATCATAATACCTGGTTGGTGAGTAACACAATCAATATCTGTGCTTACACTGTACACACTGTACCTCTGTTGCTGTGAATTACAGATGCTTACTATGCTGAAATAACCTACGGTGCACTGAGCTTTCAGTATGAATATATAATTATTCATCAAATATCAGCCTTAGCACTGCTTCTGGAGTATGCACGTGCATACATAATCTGGCCATCCAGTTAAAAATACAAGTTTATATTCATTCTGTTTATTTCAAATGACTTTTGCAATTTTTCTTTGATAAAGCCATTATATCTCAATTAGGAACTTGTGTGTCGCATTGTCAATTTTCATGTTGCCCTTTTTAAGGGCCAGTTGGGTGCCTCAGGCCTTTTATCCTGATGCAAATCAATATAATTTATGACTTCTTCTGGATCCAGATTTCCTATTATTTTGGAAGTTTTGCTGTTGCAGTTTTTCCCTTGATAATTCACTATCGTTTCAGTACATGTACATGTACATGTACATGACAGCTGGTCAGTGAGCAGGTTTTTTTTGAAAAACATTTCTACAAGCATATTTTGAGTTCCCATTTTAAAGAGAAAGCCACAGAAAATGACCAGCATCTTGCTTCAATGACATTACAGAAGCACTGCCCTTGCTTACCCCCCCCATTAACAAAATTCAATGTTAGACAAGTTAAGACTAACAAAAAAAAGGATGTCAAACAGAACTTCAAAGAAACCGAAAGTCACAATTTAATCCGCAGTAAATTCATGCCATGAGCCGTTTAACTTCATTTCATCATAATTTGACACTAGTTAGTGATTCACAATATTGAGAAAGTTTCAACTTTTCCTAAGAAAAAACAACTTCATTCTGAAAATTCCATGTCTTACATCACTTGCAAAAAACATACTCTGCTACTGCTGAAGACACCACCACGTACATGTACATGCAAGATTCACACATAGATACGTGTACATGCATACACAGTTGTACACACCGTAAATACAACATACGTAAAAACTGCCTGTGACATGAAAGTTTTGAGACAGCACACATTCAAGAAGCTTATAATTAATTTCTAAACTAAGCCGTGTGTCCATGTTCACATAGGAAGTGATCTTTGGCATCCAACCTTTATTTTAAAATCCCATTTTCATTTGCATGCTTTTACAAATTGGAAAACTAGGGAAGTTTGTGCATCATCTGCATGCTCTAAATCCCTGGATTCTTGAGGAAACAAAACAAGAGAGAGTACCCTATATATTATTAATGAAAAAAATATTCATGAAATCTAAGCTAATTTTGGTTACCTGTGCTGTTATTTATACCCTCACAAAAGAACATAATCTACATGTAATAATGTGCACACATGCACAAGTGCTTGAACTTCCAGAAGTTGCTACAAGGTTGGGTCCAGTGCTTTTTCTTGTACTAATTAATGATGTACTTACTTGTACCTTTATGGGACCCCAGTGTTGGAAGTACATGTATGTTGATGACATGATAATCAAGGAAACAGTGCTGCAGGGTGCGACCACTGAGGCTCAATCCATGCTTGATACTTTGGAGTGGACAAGTGGTGTACTGTTTACATGTACATGTTTGTGTCTCAATATCAACAAGTGACACGTCATGAGGGTATACAGAAAACTTGAACTCCAATCTCTTCAATTAACTATCAATAATCAGGCCTTTCAACAGGTTGAGTCAGTGAAGGTGCTACATGTATGTGTTCTCATCCAGGCAGATTTAAAATTGGAACAATATATTTAAGAAATAGTTAAAAAAGGCAAATACCAGAATCCATATATGATACAACAGATTAGTCCTTTTAATTACCTCAATATGATCTCATTACAATATATACAGATTTTATTTGACCGCTCCTTGAGTAAGATGCACCTGTATGGCATTCTGCCCTCACCCATGCTCAGATAAACCAATTGAGAGGGTTTCGAAATGGGTGTTATGTTTAATTTAGGACATCGGTACCAATTGTATGAAGCTGCCTTGAACAACCCTTCTTGAAACACTCTGTGATAGAAGGAACAAGCGTTGCTTTAAAGTTGCTCAATCACTTATTAAATTTTCCCAATTTTATCACTGGTTACCTTTAAATAATTCATTATCTGATAGACTAAGGAATCCTAACCCATTTAAACAAATTATATGCAGAACAGATAGGTACAAAACTAGTCCTAGGATTCCATCCTTCATTAGGCTCTCGAATAGCAGCTAAATTAGTTGATTTTGTGGATTTGTGGGTTCTTGTACAGTCAAAATGTTAGTATTTGTTTTTCTTTTTATACTGTATGTCTTTATGGTTTTATCAAGTTCATGTATTTCTTTTTGTTGATCTTATTATTTTGTTACAACATATGCAATTTTGCCTTTTAGGCTGTGATAAAAATTTCTAATAAAACACCACGATAATAACACTTTAACTGAAACTTAAAATTCTTTTTATAATTCTCAAATACCGCACAAGTATTTCCCAAAACATGAACATTGTATTAACAGAAATCTGGAAACCTCAACTGTAACCTGGAATTAAAATAGTCAGTGAGTCTAATTAGTGCATACTGTGAAATACCCACACAGTGGACTATTTTCAGGTAATTTGCTCAATGAGTACATGTATACTTAATGTGAACAAATATGGATTTTATGCATATGTTCCAATCTCTCCCCATATGATGTTTCCAAGCTATAGTGCAGGTATTTTCCAAATAACATGAAACAAGGGATTTTGGTTTTTCAGAAATCACAAGTCGGATTAAACAAATTGCTTTTTTGTAACAGCTGCATAAACGGATTAAAAAATTGCACTCTTTATGATTTTCAGCTGTTTTTTGCAGTGATTCTATATTTAATGCACATGTACTTCTGCCAACCACTGCTCAGTTTACATGTCAAGGGTACTGTGTTTCATCATTT